CACGTAGATTTGTAGAAAATAATATTCTTTACAAAGCTTGATACTTTGAAACTAAAAATAGGGTGTGGGTGTGGGTGTGGGGTGGGTGTGGGTAGGTTAAGACAAAATCACACCCACATCCCACATCCACACACCCACACCCACACCCACACCCGTCTAATAGTTAACAATCATGATGATTAATGTAGTTATTCTGTAATTACATTAAGATATATGCAAAGAGTAAGAAGAGATTCGAAACTTTCCATAGGAAATGAAACAATCAAATACGTTCTAGATTTTTATATATTTATTAATAGGTTAAAGTAAAACGTTTAATTGGTAAAAAAAAATAATCTCGCCGAAAAGAACTTGTAAATGATAAATCCAGAACAATTGAAATTCATTTAAATCGACATTCCAAATCGAATTTATATTCCTTATCAAATCTAGAAATAATTCATCAATTAAATTGTCGATATAATCAAATAGATGATAGTTTATCAAATCGAACAGGAGCATCATTATCTCCATCAATAGGTGATGCACCAACTGCTAATCCTAAACAATCTTATATATTAGATTTAATACATATAACAAATGCTCATCTTGATAATATGGACATTACTCAACATTTATCATCATTTTATTGTGATCAAGATAATAGTGCTATTCTATCGATTTTATTAAATAATATATCGATTAATAAACAACCAATGAAATCAAATTATTTAGATTTTGAAAATATAGAAAAATATCTTGAAGAAAATCAATGTGATTGTTATCGTCAATATATTGAAAATGCGAAATTAACTATTAATGGAGAACAAGATGATGACAATAAACTAAAAAGAAAGTCGAAAATGTCAATATATATGAATAAATATATATGGCCTTATTAGAACAAATTTCAAAAATCTATATCAAATTTTGTTGCAGGAAAATATTTTCGTCGTATTGTATTATCAGCTATTGTTATAAATACATTATCAATGGGTATTGAATATCATGAACAACCTCAATCATTAATAAATGCATTAGAATATTGCAATTTAGTATTTACATCATTATTTGCTATTGAAATGATTTTAAAAATAATTGCTGATGGCTGTCTTTAATATATTAAAAATGCTTATAATTTATTTGATAGTGCTATTATTATCATAAGTCTTATTGAATTATAAAAAAATAAAAATAGTGGATTATCAGTTTTACGTACATTTAGATTATTACGCGTACTTAAACTTGTCAGACTTATGTCAACACTTAGACGACAATTGGTAATCAACCTTTTCTTTTTTTTGTTGTTCTCTTTTATTTTATTTTTTTCATGCGAATTACTTATCGATTCATTGATAACTATCTTTAGTAGAAATGCCATATTCAACTAATCGATTCTGTTTTAGTTTTGTTTTAACTCTTATCACATCCGAAAGGTATCTGTTTTGAGCATACTTATTTTCCATTTTTATGATAGCTGATTGAATAAATATATCCAATAATTTTGAAAGAATTTTCTAAATGTTTAAAAGTGTATAAAAGACAGAAAATGATTGTTTAAGAAAGGATTTTCATATATAAATTTATGTTAATCTCAACTTTAGAAAAAGTTTCAATAAATAAATCTAATTAATTTTGTTTTTCGCTATAGATTGTCATACTTAAAACAATGGATAATATGACTACATTTTTTCTCTTTACTACTTCTATTTATATTCATATTCAGGTAAGTTTAGAAGAAAAAAAAC